TTTTTTGTCTTTTTGAGACAGGGTCTCACTATGCAGTTCAGCCTGGCCTTGAGCTCACTTTGTAGCCCAGGCTGGTCTCGAACTTGCAATGATCCTCCTGCCTCAGCCTCCCGAGTGCTGGGATTACTGGAGTGCGCCACCACGACCGGCCTCATGTCCTGTATTTTGCAGAGAAAATGACGATCACTTTTTCGACAGTTCCCCCCTTTTGCTTTTCCCATTTGTAACAGTTCTCCTCGAAAACCCAGCTGCACTCTGCCTGTGCGTTTTCTTCTCCACCTTCCCTTATTCTCTCCCATTGCCCTTTGCAAGGCGAGCAATCGCCTTGTTGGTGAAAGAGTTGAAGGAAAGTGCCTTTGCCTAGATTACTGGCTGGGCCGGTTTCATGAGTGCTTTGCTGGAGAATAGGTCATTGTCATCTATCTGATAGGCACTGAAGGGTTTAATGTGATCCCTCAGCAGGTCTCAAATGTGTTTAGGCAATATGCAGCCTTGGCTTGGTGCACCTCAGTGTTAGGTTACAGGATGCAGTTGAATTTTCCTGTGGTAAAGATTGAAAAGATGGAGAACTTGAGAATTATGATGATTTTTTTTGATTAATTATTTCGTGTGTGTGTGTGTGTGTGAGAGAGAGAGAGAGAGAGAGAGAGAGAGAGAGAGAGAGAGACAGAGAGAGACAGAGAGACAGAGAGAGACAGAGAGAGAGAAGGAGGGAGAGGGAGAGGGAGAGGGAGAGGGAAGGAGGGAGGCAGGGGACACAAGGTCTTGCTGTGTAGTTCAGGCCGGCCTCAAACTCATGGTGATCCTCCTGCCTCAGTCTCCCAAGTCTTGGGATTTTCAGGTGTGCGCCACCACACCTGGCTGATGATTGTTTTTGAGCTCGCCAGTGCACTAAATTTCACCAGTCGAGACCTGAGCGCAAACACCTTCTATATTCATAAGAAAGAAAAGAAGTTTGGTTCTTAAGTGGTGAGGGTGATGCTTTTGTGTTGATTTTTGATTTTGTGAAAAGTGGAAACTAAATTTGTTTGAGTGCAAAGTAACCCTGGGGTTAGGTGAAAGTCATTTGTTAATCTAGCAGTCCTGGGGCTGGGGATTTAGCTCAGCGGCAAAGCGCCTGCCTGGCAAGCGCAAGGTCGTGAGTTCGGTTCCTGGTACTGGAGAAAAACCAAAAAAAAAAAAAAAAAAAAAATCTAGCAGTCCTTAAGTTTTGAGTGCTTCTGTAAATGTGAAGATATAACTTTTGCAAATTTGTTTTTCTTCACCAAAGGGTTTGTGATACGGAATCTGTTTTTATTCTTTTGGCCTGGCTGTTTCAGTTTTTTAAGGTGGCCTCTGACTAAGGCGTATTTTGGGGTTTTTTGGATGCATTTAGAGGTGGGATTGGTTGCTGACCTATATAAGAATTGTTAGGACATAGTAGCCATTTTTAAACATTCCTGGAGAGGTATTTAAGGAAGAGCCATACAAAGAGGAAGATGGATTATTTTATTACAGATGTATTGCTGCAAGACAATTTAAATGTTGAAGTGCTTGAGATATTAAAATAATGTTTTTTCTAGATTATGCCATACCTTTTTTCAGTCCGACTCTGTCCCACTAAAGTTCACCTTCTCAATGTCCTGGTTTCATCTTCTACCTCCCAGTTTGCAATTTCCACTTCTATTTTATTGACCTTAGGTCAAGGCCACACTTCTTTAGCCATGTGTATTCCAGTCTCTGCAGTCTGCTCCCTACCATTTTTTCCTATACACGCTCGCACCCCACCCCTTTCCACCAGACTTGGCTCCCCGCTTTCCAGCTTTAAGCATACGTTTATCCTTTTACGCATTCTACCTTCGTCCTTGCTCCTGTCTCTACATGCTGCAAGCCAAACTGAGAAATTACTATCACAGGCTCAGACACCAAATGCCTGTATGGTTTATCATTCTCACTCTTAGGATCTGTGCATTGTAAGTTTACTGTCTGTGGACATGAGGACCAAAACTAGTGTGAGTCACTTCTGCTGCCTGCAAATGATACAGTCATCATATACATTGGACTTTATTTCTCCAGCCAGGTTGCAAAAATCTAGGATGTTAGAAACCCCTTAATGCTGATTTCTTTTGTAATCCTTCTCAGCACTTAGCATAAAGTTTTAGAGCAGCCCCTCAGTGGAGTCCCTGAGTAGCAAACAGTGCAGGCGGTTTACCGGCGCTTCAAAAGCAACACGGTCTGGAGTGACTTGCCGTGTACTCCTCTGAAGACCCTGAGGCGTACATTTCACATATGTTAGTGTCTTCCCAGTGTCTCTCTGAGGCCTTGGGCTGGTACGTGTCCTCCGTCATTGCTGGAGACGAATAGTTGTCTTTGGTCACACAGTCAGGTCCCACAGGTGAGCTGTAGCCGAGCTGACCTTGGAGCACAGCTAGTCTTTCCATTACACTGCATTATGTCAAATGATCTTCTTTCCTCCTCCCAGATTTCTCTTGCTTTAGTCCTTAGACATGCCAGGTATAGAAATGAGTCATTTATAATCGAAAATAGTTGACATCTCCGTTTGGATTTTTAATATGCAAAGTAGAATATTGATTTTTTTGTGTTTAAATTTAACCTTTCAGGCAGGTCCAAGTATCCTATCACAAAACAGTTAGACTAGAAATCCACTGTTGTGTACATTTAAAGCTTTTCTTTTTCTAAAGGTCAGACGAAACTAGGTATAAGGCAGGGAGTTGTGTTTAGATACTGAGTCAGGTGACAGCTTGCCTCTGAAGAAATACCGTTTCCTCGGGAGGTTGCGTTTCTTCTTAGAAGACTGACAGCGGTGTGTTCAGTGGGCAGATGTGATGCAGCCAGAGAAGGGATGTGAACTCAGGATGCACATGTTACGAGGACGAGTGTCATTAGCACAGTGCACACTCAGAGCAGCCACAGGGCTGACCGTGGAGGGCGGGTAGGAGGGCAGTGAGGCCGTCCTGCTGAAACGGCCTGGACGATAAGGACTGCTTTCCAAGGAAGGCAGCAGCTGGGTGGGAGCTGGGGCTGGGGAGCCTACGTTAGTGCTAGGCTGTGTCAGATCACGGGTGGGCCTGTTCTAAATGCATATCCCAGGGCCCCACCCTCAGGCCCAGGGAATGAAAATTTCTGAGTGTAGGGCCTGCCAGTCTCAGATGGAGCCAGCTGTAGTCCTCATGCACTAGAAAAGATATTTTAGGGCTGGGCACCGTGGAGTGAGAAGCAAAACGTGCTGGTGGAGGAGCTTGTTTCGGAAGGCCTGAGCTCTGGAACAGTGTGCCATGGATTAGAATTTCGGATTAGGTGTGTAGACCTGGTCATTAGGAGCGTGATTGTTGGAGTGTGTTTTAGCATGTATAGGAAATAAGAAGTAAGTGGGACCTGGGAGTTTTGAAGACGACAGAATGAAAATGAATTGGCTTCCTAGACACAAGCTGGTGTTTGGGTTGGGTTGGACCCCTAATGAGCCTGGGTTGTACAAGAGATCTCCAAAGCGGGGTTCAGTGAAGGGGGTGCTACCCAACCCAAAGGAAGGGTGAAAGAGGGGGTGGGACGCCTTATGGGTAGAGTGGGCTTAGGGACCCTTCTTTAGGTCTTAATTTTTATTATAAAAATCTAGTAAAATGTTATGTCTGCCTTTCAACCAGGATACAATTAAAAAATAACTTTTTACAGTAAACGACAGATTGTCGAGGGCAATGGGAGATAGGTGTGTTGGAAGTGAAGGGAGTATTTTGAGAGGGATTGATGACAGTGTGTCCTTTATTGTGTAAGTATGGGTAAATACCAGCGCTAACTGAGCCAGTGGAGCTGGGCAACGTGTGTTTTATTGAAATTCCTTTTTAAAATTTAAGCATGCATTGTATTCTTTGATCACCTGTCAATGATATAAGTGTTTACGGCAATTTCCGTCACAGCAAAACAGTGTGTCCTCATCCACCTCATTCACTGGCACCATATGACTTCTAGCTTTTCCTCAAAGTCAGAGTGGCTGCTGCAGATTAACGTTTTGAATACTGTAATT